TGAATGTTAATATCTGGATCTTTACTCAGTAAGAGTTCAACAACCTGGTAACGTCCATAAAAACAAGCTTCCATCAAAACAGAAATTCCCTCATTATCTTGAATGTTAATATCTGAATCTTTATTCAGTAAAAGTTCAACAACCTGGTGATGTCCATTGTGACTAGCAGACATCAAAGCAGTCCGTCCCTTATTATCTTGAATGTTAATATCTAGATCTCTACTCAGTAAGAGCTCAACAACCTGGTGATGTCCACTGGCACTAGCAACCATCAAAGCAGTCCATCCATGATTACTTTGAATATCAATATCTGGATCCTTACTCAGTAAAAGTTCAACAACCTGGTATTGTCTATAGCAACTAGCAGACATCAAAGCAGTTGATCCATCATTACTTTGAATTTTAATACTTGGATCTTTACTCAGTAGGCTTAATAGTTGAACAGCCTGGTGATGAATGCCACTAGCAACCATCAAAGCAGTCACTCCAATATTATCTTGAATATTAATATCTGCATCTTTACTCAGTAAGAGTTCAACAACCTGGTGATGACCATAGCAACTAGCAATCATCAAAGCAGTCCATCCATCATTATTTCGAATGTTGATATTTAGATCTTTACTCAGTAAAAGTTCAACAACCTGGTGATGACCAGGGCAACTAGCAACCATCAAAGCAGTCAATCCAATATTATCTTGAATATTAATATCTGCATCTTTACTCAGTAAGAGTTCAACAACCTGGTGATGACCATAGCAACTAGCAATCATCAAAGCAGTCCATCCATCATTATTTCGAATGTTGATATTTAGATCTTTACTCAGTAAAAGTTCAACAACCTGGTGATGACCATGGCAACTAGCAACCATCAAAGCAGTCCATCCCTTATTATTTTGAATGTTCATATTTGGATCATTATTTAATAAGAGTTTAACAACTTGGTGATGTCCATAGCGACTAGCAAATATCAGAGCAGTGTACCCATCATTATTTTGAATGTTAATATCTGGATTTTTACTCAATAAGAGTTCAACAATTTGGTGATATTCATAGCCACGTGCACTAGCAACCATCAAAGCAGTGTATCCATCATTATTTTGAATGTTAATATTTGGATCTTTATTCAATAAAAGTTTGACAACATGGTGATGTTCATTGACAATAGAAAACATCAAAGCAGTCAATCCATTATAATTTTCTTGAATGTTAATATCTGGATCTTTACTCAATAATAGTTCAACAACCTGGTAATGTCCATTGTGACTAGCAGACATCAAAGCAGTCCATCCATGATTACTTTGAATGTTAATATCCGGATCCTTAGTGAGTAAGAGTTCAACAACCTGGTGATGTCCTTTGTCACTAGCAAGCATCAAAGTAGTTGATCCATCATTCTTAAGCTGAATGTTAATATCTGGATCCTTACTGAGTAAGAGTTCAACAACCTGGTGATGTCCATTGGAACTAGCAAGCATCAAAGCAGTTAATCCATTATTCTTTTGAATGTTAATATCTGGATCCTTACTGAGTAAGAGTTCAACAACCTGGTGATGTCCTTTGTTACTAGCAAGCATCAAAGCAGTTGATCCATCATTCTTAAGCTGAATGTTAATATCTGGATCCTTACTGAGTAAGAGTTCAACAACCTGGTGATGTCCATAGTGACTAGCAAACATCAAAGCAGTTAATCCATCATTCTCTTGAATGTTAATATCTGGATCTTTAGTGAGTAAGAGTTCAACAACCTGGTGATGTCCATAGTGACTAGCAAACATCAAAGCAGTTGATCCATCATTCTTTTGAACATTAATATTTGGATTCTTACTGAGTAAAAGTTCAACAATCTGGTAATATCCGTATCGACTAGCAACCATTAAAGGAGCCCATCCATCATTATTTTTAATGTTACTATCTGCATCTTTACTGAGTAAAAGTTTAACAATCTGGTAATATCCAAAGCGACTAGCAACATTCAAAGCAGTCCATCCATTATCATTTTGAATGTTAATATCTGGATTTTTACTCAATAAAAATTGAACAGTCAAAAAATCTCCTTTTTTACTAGCAGTTATAAGGGCAAAATTATCATTTTTAAGAGGTAAACCAATGTTAAGTTCACGAAAAAAAAATAATACGTTTTCATTTTTAGTTTGATGTGCTTTCAGCATTGCAGCATCAAAGGTAAATGACTCGCTTTTTTCTTTCATCATGATAGGAATATTATCAATCATAACCTCAAATATACCAACTGCATATAAAGAAGCACACCTCATGCCAATATTAAAAAATTCTTTTATTGATGATTCAGTTTGAGGCAAGAAATATGTACAGGTACAGCTGGAGTCATCATAGTGGGTTTTTATGAGATTTAGGGAGAATAAAATAGGCGATAAGTAAAAATTTTCCATTTTATTTAATTGAGCAATTGTCCTGGAGCACCATGGCTTGTTAAATCTTACTATTAATTTTGAACAGCCAACACCATCAGGACATTGCATTTGTTTAGTCATCATTGCAAGCTCCAGTAGGCTAGTGGTATTTTTGAATATCTTTAGATTAGTATTGTAATCTTCTACTTGTTCTTTGATAGGTTCTGTGACAGTACATGGTATTGTGAGAAGGTTGACGTTTAAACATGAGTAATGAGGCTGGAGCAACTGCACAAATTGATGAACATTTTCACAAGTAGCAGTGGGATTTTTTGATTTGATATAAGTTTGAAATTTTTGTCTTGCTTCTGTTATCAAAGCTTTGCTGGTCAAAATATTGATAGCTGCATCAATAAAATTACTATTTAATACATTAAAACAATCTTGCAGGCATTGAAACTTTTCTTTTAAATTATTTTCAATAACATGCATGAATGATTCATAGAAAGGATAACTCACTCTTCTTTTTTTAACAACCATTTTTAGCATGTCTCCAACTGAAGTATCATCTCGTGGTATTATTTTTTCCCCTCCAATTGATTTGTATATATGTTGAGAGAGAGCAGTACATGCTAAATAGTTCAATCCAATGTATCCTTTATTGGCTGGTAGTTGTATAAATGGATTAGCACCATTTTGTAGCAATGATTGGAAAATTTCAATATGTCCACCTTTGCTTGCTAACATTAGTGCATTCTGGCCCTTTGTGTTTTGAAAATTTATTTTTATTTTAAGCTCTATCAAAAGTAATGATATTCTGTGATATTCAGGATTACTTTCGATACTTGCAATGGATTGTAAAAGTGATTCTTCAAATGTGAAGCTAACATCTTCCTTTTTGTCAATAATAGTTTGATTGGCAATGATCAGTTGAAACATACCAAAAAGATGCATGACAGGAATTTTAGTTTGTGACTTTTTAATGAGTGGTTGAACTGATATGTCTGAAAGGATCAAAATTTGTATAGAAATTGATCCTCTTAAAAACTTCTTTATTGTAACAAATTTTGCTTCTTCATCAAATAAATATTTCAATAGCCTATGAACATGACCAATAGTTTGTTCATTCCATCTTCCTGACAACTTGAGAATTATTTTAGGATCAACTTTGGTGCTTTCCCCAATAATTGCTCCTTCGATAGTTTTAACAATATCATTAAGTTCTACTGAATCAATAAATTCATCAATGTCATGACTATATTGATCAAACCTAGTCTGTAATAAAGAGTCATCAATTGGGTTGGCTTCCATGAGATCATTTATTGCATCAATATCAATAAAACTGTGACGAGGTAGCAGTCGTTCGAATATTTCGTCAAATGTTACACCATCACGTGCTAAACCAGTTTCTTTATAAGCATTCTGAACCCATCGAGCAAGAACAATTGCCCCATATTTTTCACTAGAAGCATAATGTGTAGTAATATCAGTCATCAGCTTTGCATATTTCTTATGCAGGTTTCTAAGATCAATTGCTAAACTATCATTAGAGCTAAGCTGTACTTCTTTAGGAGTAAATTCAGTGGCTACCTTAGTAAAACAGAATGATACTTGATGATTTTTAAATACTTCAGTCTCCCAGTCTCTAGCTAATGCAATTGCCTCCTCTTGAGCGGGACCTCCTGCAGTTGACAAGCAATCTAAGAAAAAGGAACAAACTTCCCTCATCTTTTTAATGTCTTCTGTGTACAAAGAAATCATTGCTGAAAAATCTATTTCAATTTTTTCAAAAGTTGGTGAATGTTTAACTTCTTTATTGATCAAATTTTTGCTGTATAACTCACTGGCCACTATTGAAAGGCAAGTTTGAGTACTTGCTGTTAATTTGGAATAATGGGATCTTAGGACTTGCTCTACTGTTCTGTAGACATTTTTACTGGAGCTCTTATCTACAATAAAAAACATCACTAAAAATCTTCATAATTATTTTTAATATAAGATGTACCTGAATGATTCTCTAAAACATTACGAGCTACGGTAACTTCATTAGCATCCAGCAGAGCATTAATGACCTTTTTCCATGTTATATCAAGATTATTATCAAGACAGTGTTGAACTACAGCACTCATGATGTCTGACCTTCTCTCTTTGATTCCAGTAATGACATCTTGTGTCATGTTAGGAAGATAACAAACAAACTGTTCCCAAGTACCAGCAGTGAACTTTGAGCTACTGAGTAACTCAACCAATTCATCTTTTGTGGGCTTATCTATTGTATATACAAATTTGATTGATGAACAATCAGCCTTACCTGTAAGAGTGGGTCCAGGATTGAGTTCCACGTCTCCTGACATAAAGAGGAGGATAAGAAGACAAAACAGTGAAATAGACAAAATGAAGCTAGGGCCCTTTGGTTGTGCAGCAGTAGTAGATTTATTACCAGTACCAGTTCCATTGGTTCCACAGTAAGTACTTCCACAATCACTGAGTTCAGTGGGTTGTGTCCAATGGTGGGAACAGTTCCAGGATCCTATTCTAGCTCTCCACTGACACAAATCAATCATGGCGAAGAAAACGCTGTGTTGGCGAAATTTTGAAAACTTCCGGTAGGAGGTTCTAAACGTAGACAAATGGCCTAGATCTAGCTAAAGTATCGAGCTGATTGATTCTGGATTTATTATGAATAATAATAAAAACTGTCTGCAAGAGAAGTAATTGCTTATTTACATGTATTATAAAAAATTTAGTTTTCTTTACACTTGATTTTAGCCAGATACTGTGAGACTTGAGAACCTTCTTGAGCCTACACAAAACATAGTAAGTTTAAATGGATGCATAATGGCTCTTTCCTTACTATACTGCTGGCTGTATTTCCAGAGTAATCTTTTGATTTCATATCAGCCCCTGCCAGTCTCCAAGCTTCGACCAATTTCACATCATCCACCGAAGCAGCTCTATAAAAAATAAAACAATTTTACTACACCTCACGCGTTAATTAGCAGCTCGGGTGGTGAAAAAGATTTTAAAATAATTTTTGGAAATAAAGATGGATTCCTCTTACAGGCATAGTTTGCTGCCAATCTCAGTTGGAGTCTCATTTATGTGTGCACCAGTCTGTACTAAGAGTTTTATGATATCGAGTTGCCTTTGGAAAAAGAAAAGAGACAAAAATAAAAAGAGTACATAAAGCATCACTTTATCCTTCTTCACTCTCTCCCCATGCTCTCACTTAAAGCTTATAGCTTCATGTAACGGAGTGCGATGTAGTGAGTCCTTCATGTGTACTGAGGCTCCATTAACGAGCAAATAATGAACAGTGTCATAATGACCTCGTCTAGCAGCTAAATGAAGCGGAGTCAGGCCAGTATAGTCCGGAAATGCAACATCACCTCCCTAAGAGAAGAAACAGAGAGTGAGTGTATCAAAAACAAACATTCTTAAATAGCAGAGAAAAAGAAAGGATAAAGGGATTTATAGAAATAGTGTTTTTTATTGTAGTCTTTACAATAGGAATAAAATCATTTAGTACTTCTTTTTTAAGTGTTTTCAGAGCTTCTAGATCACCCTCAGAAGCAGCTTTACAGAGCAGAGAAGGAAATAATGACTCACGCAACAGCTTCACATCCTAACAAAGAGGAAGAGAGGGACAGGGACATGAGACAAAGGATTGAGAATTAAAAACCTACAGTGTTTGAAGTGAGGAGTTTAGTTAGCGATCTTAATAAATTGGTATCGTTTAATAAAGACTGAGGGTCGGACTGTTCGTTAATGACCGTCTTCTCTCCTCTCAGGTTCTCTTCCATTAGCTTACGTTTCTCTTCCAGCGAGAGCCCAGACCGACTGAGCAGGTAAGACAGTTTAGTAAGAGAAGCCTCTGGAGTCATATCGTATCCAGGTATGACATTAGCATCCCTTAATATCTAATTATTTAAATAAACAATGTAACTATACATGTACCCACAAATGCATTGATCCTGATGAAGAACCTCTACTACATACTGTATGTCAATATATACTGTATATACTGTGCATGCACCTATTGATACTGTTGAAAAAGTTTATGCATATGTACATACTTACATAGCTATTATTTTAACACACTAGCTAGTTGATATGCATTTAATGTACATGTACATGTATACATCTATACCTCTTACCAGTCCAGCTGCATATTTCTCACTGACGTAGCCAGAGAAGCACTGACTGCAGTTCACTATTATGACTCCTCTCTCGGTAGCAGCTGATAATTCTTGAACAATATCAGAACGACTGTCAGGAATGTTACCAGCACCATACGACTGGAGGACTACACCTTCCATTGGGGGCTGAAGAAAAGAACAGATCTACAAATTTTTTAAATGCTATAATAATGACAATTAATGGTAGTGAGAACTTACAGCTGCTTTTGATATTCCAGGGAACAGTCTAAGTATCCCAACATTAGAATTCATGTCTGAATGAACACTAAACTTCTCAGTACTGCTTGGCCTAAACACCGACTCCCAGTTCACTAGAAGAAGAGGAACTTGCATACCTGGGTGTCATCAATAATGGCAGTACCTTTTATATCTACTCCGACTCTTGCAATGGGAGGGAAATTAGGAGAAGAGAAAGCATCGAGTCTACTTGAGTTCATTTTAACTGTTCTATTTCCCCTGAATAACTTGTTATTGAAATAAAGGAGGACCTATGCAAGTTAATAGTACCAATGCACATGAGTCTATATAGCTACATATAATTTCCCTCAACTCTATCCTCATCATTCTCCATTATATACCTCAGGTATAACAAACTCCCCAGCAATAATCAAAGACTCAAGCAGGTTGTCTCTTCCATCACTTCTTAACTCTGACAACGGAATCTAACAGTTCATGTACACAAGATAAAGGACTCTTGATGTACACATGCAACATACAGTATTGATACAGTTTTCTGTTACTGACCTGTGATCCTGTCAATATGATGGTCTTTCCTAAGTTCTCTAACATAAAAGACAGTGCAGAGGCTGTGTATGCCATAGTATCTGTTCCATGGAGGATGACAAATGCATCAAATTTTGCATAATATTTCCTTATGTCACTGGCTATGTATGCCCAGTCAGTCATTGACATGTTACTGGAGTCAAGCAATGGAGTATACTCCTTTATACCATACAGTATTCGGTAATTACGAATGGTTAAACTGTATAGGAACAAAGGGAAAGGAACAAAGGAAAAGAGCTTAACTATTATTTCTGCTAGTAAACGAGGATTGTAATAAGAGAATGAGCATATGTATGTGTCATATCTAGTGTGTACATCTCTAATTGTGCCATATTGCATATACAATACTGAAACAACATTAATGGCAGCTCTCCAGTAATTGTAGTATTATAGCTACATCTTACGGTAGTGGTAT